TCGTCCGGCAGAATTCGATCATTTTGTTCCGCGTAGCCGACTAACTGATCCGAGGCGATGTCCGTGGCCAGGGCACTTTGTAACTGCTGCAATAAATTTTCCAAATTTTGATTGTCGCAATTGGAAATAGTATATGGGGGTAAGGTATCCGTGTACTCGGTCGGTAAAGCCGGTCCATTATTCATGGGAATCGAACCATTATAACCGACTGTGGTTTGTTCTGCCGTCCCCATTGTGTTTAAATCTGCCCATATAGATTGTGGATCGTTCAAATCGGAGTTCTCGAATACACCGGATTGTGCGATCGCTGTGGCAGCCACAGCACCTGCGACAGCGGCTAGCGTTACTTGGTTTGCTTGTGGAACAGTCAAATCAATTCCAAGCGAGGCTAACTGTGATGAAATTGCCGGATCAGAAGCGACAGACTGTAGTAGCTCCGTGTTTCCTAGAAGCTCTAATAAGCTGGTTGTTGATGGCGTTTGTACAGATGGTGGTGGTGGTGGTTGTGGTGGTCGACTTGCAGGGATCAAGCTGGCATCGCTTATTCCAGTATCAGCAGTTAGCGGCTTTGTTGTCGTTTGCCACTGTGTTCCCGACGGGTCTAGTAGCATCGGATTGACCTGGATCGCAGGTGAAACAAAATCTTGCGCAAATGCAGATGGTACAGTTTCAGGCATGCTTAACGGGACATTAATTGGCCATCCGTAAACCGGCCCCAATCCAGATCTTGATGTGGCTGTGGAAAAGATAGGTGGAGCCCCTGTGGTACTAATTAGTGTGCCCGGACCACGGTCAGTAACCCCTATCACCGGACTGATGGAATTTTCCGTCAACAGATGTGGTGTGATCGGAAGTGAGTTGACTGAAAATGGTGTGGATGTGGATGGGAGAAGCAGAGAGAAATCGGGTGGCCATAACGAGCTGGAAGGTTTGTCATCCATGAGACTGCGTAGCAGTTGCCGATGTTGTTTTTCAACCTGTCTGCGTAGCTGTTGTGTCACCATATGATCGGAATGTAATCGTCTATCCAATGAACCGAACTTGTGTCTTGCACGATCAAATAAACCGTCATCATCCAGATAATCAGCAGAACGGTCCAAATGGGATTCCGAATGCGCGGCCGCGAGTCGAGCACGAAGAGTTTGCATTGACGTGTCGGCACCACTGAAGCCTGAACCTCGTCGGACATTGAGGTGATCAGTTGAACGTGATAGACTTTTGTTACCCCCGAGTTGTTGCGAAGTGAATCTGGATGAGGATAAGGAGGCGGGTCGACGCAAGGAATGAAAATGATCCGCGCGTGAAACGCCCCACGAGGTTCGCGTTGCCGGAGTGCTTGAATCCAACAGACGTCTGGCAGCTGTGTAACTCAAAGGTAGAGAAAGCTGTGAGCGACCCTCCGCGAATTCGGCTTCATCTGATAAATTGGAACCGGAATTTTCCGCACTATCGCGTGCACCAGATCCGTAGCTCGAATTACGAAATTGCCAGCGCCTATCATCTCCCACAATCCGACTTGGTCTGGGGTACCCTCGCCGCATAGTGATTCTCTGATTTGATCTAGGACCAGTTCCATATTTATTCACCCGCGAGAGCCCCACATTTCTTGATAGACGGGAAAAATCTTTATAGTAATCATATTCGTCCGTGGGAAGTGATCGATGACGATCTATCGTTTGAGATGCGCTGTATGATTGAGGGTATGCAATCCTTTTTGGATCTTCCCCCACCCGGGAGCCAGCGTACCGGTTCCCAATATCGTCTAGCATTCTACCGGTCAAACTTCTATGGGCCGCATACGTCGATGAATTCCCGTTGTCGTACGGATAAACTCGTGATGGCATACCATTTGCGTAGGACGGTGATATGTCTGACTCGTTCCAATATAAATCATACCCATTTTTCGGAGTAACATCCGTTAGTGATCTTTGTTTTGTTCTATCCGAATAGTAGAGTGCATGAGAGTCACGAGTTAGATCGGACATTTGACCAAACGGTTCCTCAACCCCCGATCGATAGTAATCATACGTGTACGAGGTGGAACGTGGTCGGCGTCGGGGCATGAAATGTGAAGCGCGTGAGCTGGATGAAGAAGACATGAACGTGCTGGTTACCAATACGTTTTCCGGGGTCACTCCGGGCACCGATTCAGATGGTTGAGTGGAACACAAAACCTGATCTTCTTGAATCTCTTCTAAAACGCGACGTCGGAAACTGCATACAATCCGACCGGAATTGAGGCCACACACGTTTGGTTCGTTGGTTACAGAAACTGGACTGATGTCTGCGATGTCTGCACAGTAATCCAAGTTAGGCACAGTTGGAAGTAAAACTGGTTCAGTTGTAATCACCACCTGATCGCTGGATGTGTTGCGAGAACCTTGGGCGAGCAGGTGAGTATGGGAACAGAAACTCCATGCTGCACAACATGCAACCGGTGGAACGTAATTCAAACGAACACCCAAATTATTCCCGGGGGCAAATTCGGTGAGGTTTGGTTGAACTTCGGTTTCCGGAGAGATATCGAGTAAAGACAAGAACGAGTCACTGGTATCCGGGCTTCCTGAACGCGGGGAGGTTAGTGTTCGCCGAGCAAGTCCCAGTCCACGATCCCTTTGTACGGATAGTCGAATAAGTGAGGTTTCCCGTTGTGGACTAATCGCTGAACAAACGGGAATAGGTGGGGAAAGAATATCACTAGTGGGTTGTTCACAGCAAACGGTATCTCTAGCTTCGTCAGTTACCGACTGTAAGAGAGATTCATCACCAGTCTCATCGACAGTCACCGATTGTAATACCAAGGGTAATGTCGATTTGTTTGGAGATTGATAATGATGATGAGCTCTGGAGTCGGACAAGGGTGCGTGCCGTTGTCCTATCGGCGACCATGCATCATCTGGTTCTTTCTGGTGCTCACCGATTTGCTCGCGTTTTGCTTCCCCCGGTCCAGATCTGAACTTTCCCACTGCTAGACCAGTTGATACAGGACTGTCCCCTCTGTTGTGATTGGTAAATAGGGCATTTTTGGAAGACTGGCGTTGTGCATCGATCTGCGGCCATGTTCTGACTACTGAAGCTGAGCTGGTTGGGGTGAGAAAGTTGGCATTCAACCTAAATTCTTCTGTCTGTATACGATCTTCATATTTGTGTTCCACCGCTGGGAGTGGTTGAGTTGAGCTCACGACCGCACCTAAACATGTCACTTCCCGCTCCTCTTCATCCCTGTCCGCCATCTTCTCTACCGGTCGCACATCCGTGTTCACCTCCCTATTGATCTGTCTGTCCAACAACTTTGTCTGGTTTGCAGTACGTTCCATATGTCGGCCTGTCTGTACCTCGTTCACCTCATTCATTGCATCTGTGCGAGTGGACTGACCATGGACTATCTCTCCGGAATTCGCACGCGCTGGTCTTGCGTTAATACTACTACTACTACCACCACTGCTGGTGCTGCTGCTGCTTCGGATACTGTCATTTTTGTCACAACTGGCCGGAACTAGGGTTGGCGACGGTGTGCGGACGGTGCGTTTGCATTCTGTTTCAATTTTATCAAACATACGCTGTTCGATCGATTCGGATGGTTGGAGGAGTTTTGTTGCGGTCGATGACCGTGGGTTGGCCACCTCGTCCATCGTTGTTCTGTCCTCTTGACCACTAGATGAGGACCAAATAGAATCAGCCAAAAGATGCGGCTCAAACACGGTTGCCTCTTCGACTGTCACTTGCTTGCCCTGTCGTGACTGAGGTGCTGGCGGTGTAAACAAGGGTGGTGGTGGTGGTGAAGTTGTCGAGGCAGTCGTAGGGGGTGCTCTGTGGCTTTTCACCTCAAACCGCATCAGGTCAGATCTGGTAAATTTGGATCCACTCGGAAAAGTTAAAATATCAGACTCTGTGGATGCTCCCAGTTTAAAGCACAAGTCATATTGATCTTTCTTCTGTTCTATATTCCGGACATCTGTTTGAGTGTTGCGCACGCTTTTTGCTGATAACTGATCCTAAAATGAATCAATAAATTTAACTATATGCAAATCCATGTGATTAAATTATAATCATATCAGATGACAACACAAAATAATTTTGTAAATTAAATTGTTGAGTTGCATAGGGATCAAGCCTGTAAGAGAAATAATTGATGCCGAAAATGGACTAGTAATTTATGTGTTACGATTTTCTTCAGTACACTGCTGTATATGGAGTTCAAAATTGTCATGGTCTGATGTGATAAATGCAATTATTTTGATTGTGATCCAATGATTTGTGGTTTGGAAGTGATGGCGCACAGGTTTTGTTCCTGTTGTTGTTGTTGTTGTTGTGTGGTTACAGTCGACGAATTGAACGAGCTTTTCCATTGCCGGTCTGCACCCCTGGATCATGTCAAAGGTCACGCTCGTTTCGGTCGGCTGTGTCAGGCTGAGGCCAGAGTAACGGAAGTGACTAAACGAATCACTTTAACGCTAAAAGGGGTTGATTTACAAACCATCATAATCAATAAATCGTATGCATTACAGCAGACCATTACACTGGTGTGACACTTTTGAACCCTAAGTATAAATGTATTAGCCCTGGAATGAAGTTATCGAAAACAAGCTTTATTCGCTACAGCATTTCCTTGATTTGAATTCGCAAATGATGCTTTGTCCACTGAACCTAACAAATACTTTTATTTAGTCAAGATACAAAACATTGCAAAAACATGGATTTAGTCCTCCTCGAACAAGTAGATATCACTGCTTTTGTTTGTATTCAGATGTTATATCAAACTGATAGTGATTTTTTCGACAAAAGAGAGAGCGCCCGGCCGAGAGGTGAGGGAGCCCGATATGTATTTGGTGGTTTTATCAACATGAAGCTAATGAGCAAGATTGAATAAAACTTTAGCTATAAAACTCTGTCTTTCACGTGCCATCATAAACTTTCAGTGAGTTGAAACAGTGGTCAATAGTACTTATAAAGATATCTATTTTCATTGAAAAAATGAAAAAAACATCCCGAATTTCGATACATTTCAATACATACATATTACAATAATTAGTACGTGAATAACTGAACAAAATTTATGTATAATGATAATAATGTATAACGTATAGTACATAATATATAACAACGATATTATATATATAAACTGATTATTGATTTTTTTAATTTTAGGTTTCATCTCTTACTGGATAACACACGTACAAAAGATTATGCATATATAACCTGAGTAGGTGGTATATTTTGTATTACCTGAGTATAGGTTCATCTCCAGGCGACTGTTTTCCCTGTCAGGGCACATCTACGCCGTGGGCAAATCCACGAACGCGTGTTTAGCCCTAACCTTATGATGCCGTGTTTTCTTCCTCGTCTCTTATTATAATCTAATAGGCAGATTGGGGATATTCATCCGGGTGTTCTACTCAGCTGAGCTGAGCTCAGTTATTAGTTCGGTGTTCAGAATAGGAACTCTTAACCGAACACACCTCGAATTCGGTGCTTCCCGGATGTCTGGCGGTTCAGTGAATAAATTTGTGCAAGTCGAGGCTCAGTAACAGCCAAATGCTATCTACCAACTAACGGGATAGTTAATTCAACCTCTTTACGGAATGTTTTTCAATCGTTCTAGTTCGGATCTGAATGACCTAACCTAATGGGGTATAATGGACTGCATTATTGTTATACATCAAAGTGTCACTTGTGTAAGCGAGTTTTAATCAACTCCATCATGGTTTACTTAATTTTTCTAGGCGCATTTTAGTGGTAATAAATAATCAATTGGGATAGGTCTACGACGGATTTATCTATTGGGAACTGCCATACTACCATTATATGGACACCTGTGCTCGTTTTCCAAATGGCACTGTTTAGTCAGTCTGCTACTCCGTCGTCGTATTTTTTCAACCAAAATGCATGCCTACTCACAAGTAGTAAGTAACTAAAATAGTATTGCACAAAACCCTCACGTTTTGATAAAATTCAGTTGGAGGGAAAATTGAACCAGTCGGGAACCCACCATCCGGTTAATCTACCCAAAAGATTTTCATTAGGTTATCATCTAATTACAAAGTCTATTTCATCAATTACAGAAATATGGTCAATGTTATGCGTCAACACACCACTGTGTTGAAGTTACCTCTCGTTTTGCGGTTTTGTATGTCTGTTTAAATTCTCTCAATTTGTACGAGGTCAGATGATCCCAACTCTGATTTTCCAGAGCTTCGCTTGCTTCTTCCTCTGCCAATGTCATTAAATCCAATTGCGCGGCCACCTCTTTGGCAGATTCTACCAGCGAATCAGATGGACTGAACAAGGTGGCCCAGATTTCATCTTCCTGTTGCAAGGTTGTCAGCATCGATGGGTCCACCTAGAAAGTGGAGTAAGACGATTGAATAGTGGAAGAAGAATTTCCTGCTTTCAAACATTAGAGTTTAAATAAATATTTTTTTGCATTTCGTGACTGTTGGATTTTCCTATGAACAAAAATGAGCAGTTGTTTGAGTTAAATAGTTAAAAATTTTAAGCATTCAAGACGAATTGAGTGATTGGTTGCTACTTTTTATCCTGTGATGAAAAAAGATGAAGTTTTTGAAAAGAAATTTGGTTTATTTTCGTTACGTGGTTTCTTATTCTTATTAAAATTATGAAATTTCTTCATCAGTGTAGTTTAGACAAGCATTCATCCTTTTTCGTTTTCAATTTGATTCAAAATGCCAGATGAATAGAGGTTCATTCAATCTAAACAATAAATATATTTAAATGCTATGAAAATATTTGTGATGACCGACAAATAGTGCACTGTATAGCTGTTTCGCCCATTTTGGGACTCGTAAGCACTGCACGAATTTGTGTTCCCGTGTCAGGAGTTCAACCGTGATCCTTCTGGTTGGGACTTCAAACCCTTAATCCTGGGCTACACGGCCGACGACCATCACCTTTTGCCAACGGCTCAATCAATTTAGATTACCAAACTTGGATTAGCCCATTCGATTGTTCCGAAGTCACTATATTTATTTTATGTGAAAAAGATGATTTCAAGCAATTTTCATTTCTTTTCCGCCGTGTTTCTTTGCATCTTGGCTGGTTTTACACAAATTAGAATGAAACAAACAAACAAATTACATCACTTTGAGATTCGAATACATGGCAAAATAAAATCTATTCGCGCACTCAATCAGTGGATTCCCCCTCTCTCTGTTGTTAACTCACTTAATAATCCAATCCCATGATGTAATTTAATTTTTTTGCTAATCTCTCCGACCAGCGAAGGGCACCCGATTCGTGAATGACAATTTTGTGATTCGGCCACTAAACCATGTTTTATTTTGTTTTTTACACAATCAGAAATTGTCGACATTTATTTCTGTTCACCAGCTATGTCTGTGACAGTGGTAGTGTTTCCGAAGAATAGATGAAAAATAAGGCAAGCAGGGAACATAAGCTCAGTATTGATTGTTTTCGGGTGGCAAACTTGTCACTTAGAGAAACGGGACAATCTGCTTCCACTGGTCACACTCAATGGGCTTTCGCATTGTTTAGTTTACCCGCCGCTCGATCCCATTCTGTTTTTTGTGCGTCATGCTAGTAGAGTGACGCACACACACGCGAGCGCCCTCCACTGAGTTAAGCTCATTGAACAGATGGTGTAAGGCTGTGGCCGACATGCTTGCTCATTCATCCGAATGTGATTCGGAAAGGAACGTACACCTAGATGCCAGTGGTCGCTCTACCTGGTTGCCAGATACAAAAGAATCGCGAACGGTGCTGCTTTTGGCGGTGCACGATTCAACATTTACCAAATATGGGACTGTTTTAGTCTACTGTGAATAGATACGTAAATATCTTTTTACTTTCTTGAATATACGCATGTACAGTCCACTTTCAGGAAGGGGTGGGGGCGCGACCATTCAAAGGCTGCCTGGAAAAATATAGAAACGAGGAAGATGGGAGGCGGTAGCGCAGTTTGAACCCGGAATCCCAAGTCACAGTTTGGTAACCTAACCACATGGCCGTCAAGTGAAATGTGATACTGATTTTAGAAATGTTTGCAACAGAAATAAGCCTTCAACGTTTCAACAATGGTCATCAGAGTATTCATTTTATATTTGATTCATGTCTGTCGAAATGGGGATCAGCTATTTTACGTAAACCAATAGGACATTCGCCCAGTTTGCACAACCTACCCCCCCTCAAAAAAAATCACTATACTGTCCTTCATAGATTCGTGATAATTTAAATACGACTCCACCGATCAAAACAGACTGTTTTATTGCTTATAGTGCACAATGAATAAAACTTTTTGAATCTGTAATTTTGATTAAAACTATTCTCATACTGGGAAAAAGTAACAAGTTGAAATTACCGTCGCTTGAATTGGTGGATCGCGATACCAGATTCGAGTGGGTTCGTCATCCGGCTGATTGTAAATTTCCTGCTCCTCTTCGACCGCCTCTAATTCCGGTTGAAATCGTTCATCAAATTTCTGGATTTGCATTGCATCGTTATCCGAATGTGTTTGTACTTGTTCGGAAAGACCACTGATATTTTCGAAATTAGGGCAACGTCTCAATATGGACAAATTCTCATCCTCATGTTTCCTTTGTGAAAGGTCATGTTCAGTTGAATCCCATAAACCGCGCTCCGGACCTCGTTCAAGGTCACCCGGTTTGGACGTGATTAAACGAACGGTCGGTCCGGTAATATCGGAAAGCCAGCGTTCATATGCATCCACGTCCGGGTAGAAGCACGCAGCTGATGGTTGACTGACCGGTAGTTGTGGGGTTTCAACATCCAACCTTGCATATTCTCCTTTGAAATAGGCAGACGGTTGTTGTTCAGCGATTGTGGTTTCCAAATCAACTGGGATAAACCGATCACCGTGTCTGGTATTTTGTTGTGTCACATCAAACGGATAAGAGAATCGTTTTTGCGCCAAATGTTTCAAACTGTATTGACAAGAACTGAGGTCTGGTTCTATCAACGAGTGAGTTTCCGTTGATTCTTTCTTGTTTACTTCGCATTGGCTCACAATTGGAGAATCAGGCGGCTTTTCAAACAACTGAGGTGGAACTACTGTGTGCGGAGCAGAAAAACGTCTGAATTCCTGGGAGTCAACATTCGCGTCTATTGATTTCACAAACACACCTTGCAGTTGAGCATTGGTGCTGGCACGTCGACCTGGATAGGGTTGTGGATCGACACTCAGCCATAAGCGACTGTCCACTTGTTTTGACTGATCCAGAGATTCTTCACGAATAAAAGAAGACTGCACTTGATTTCCCTCATTCTCCTCGAACATTTCCATTATGTTTGATTCTGTTTTTTCTCGTACACTTGTCTTTTGCGCTACGTCTGTTTCGTTGCTTGAATCCATTCTGCCGCACGATCTTCGAATAGTTTCGGCTGCAAAAAAGGAATCTGGTTGAATTGGTTGTGATGTCATATCGATTTCCTGTGAACCAAACCATTTATCGCGTGTGCTCCCTTCTGATTGACCGATCTCTGCCGTTCGAAAGCTTGCTAATTCAAACTCATTGTGGTCAGCATATAATGGATCCTCGTCAAATGTGCTATTGAAACTTTCGTACATATCCGTCAGTTCGTGAATCGCGATATCCGGATGATCATATAACATTCGTTCGGGATATCGGTCTGCCGAATCAGACCACACATTTAAGACGAAGGTACTACTATTACTACTACTGGTTACCAGACGATCACGATCTCTGTCGATCAGTGTGGGCTGTTCCCGTAGAAACAGGCTTTTGACTTCTGCAGTCTCGGGATGAATCACTGCGTCTGATTCGTAGCCCAGATAGGATGACTCCGGGTCCTCGAGACCTGACTGCTCTTTGCTTACACAAGTTTCTGTAATACAGGATGAAAAGTGGGCAAATATATACCTTCTAACCGAATCTGTTCGCCAATTTAGTAAGAATAAAAAACAAAAGTGGTGTGATCAGTAACTAAATTCCCGAAAGATTCAGTGTCAGAGAATTCTGTTTTTCATACAGTTCTTTCTCCATGGTTTTCTATAATTAGTGATAATTTGAAAGGTTTTGAACGAATACAAACAATACCCTTGGGAGTCTGGATGCTGATTTCCTTTTGGCCATAAAATGATTCTGTTTTGTTTCGCTCTGTACCCAATTCCGAGTACTGACTGGTCGATGGATTGGTCTGTCAATCTCCAGATGGTTATCACAGGTATTGATCAAACTCATGCAACATGACTCTCAATTTAGAAATACATTTCAGTTTACACTATCGCTGCTATGGTTAAACAGTATTTATTCCCAACTTTATCTCCCACTGAAACTCTTTTGATTTTCGCGCATTATCGTTTGCATTTGAGTAACCTTGAGTGGTATGATAAAATTTGTAGTAGTTCCAAANAGTTCCAGTTCATGATTAAAAATATCATTGTTTGTAATAAGAAGGACACGTAGGGCATTAGTAAAATAAAGGTAGAACATCTGTATCATGCTTGTAAGTCATTTTTATAATTGCATTCTACTGATGTCTTTTATTGAGGCTTTGTTATCTTACAACTGCTGCACCAGCAAGTGTCGTTGAGATTGAGAAATCGTACTTCTTTAAGGTATTCAACCAATAGAAGCAAAATCATAAGTGTGGATACCATTAAAGATACGTTGCGTTTGACATACGGGGGGCGTGGGTCAGAACGCTCTAAGTTTCGGAGCGATCAGATCTGGTGAAAATCTTGGTGTCACAGGAGTTCGATTGACCACCTGTGTTTGCCCTTGCTAATAATATCATGACGTGCTCGAGGATGGTCAAACAATCCGTCATCAGTACAGTAACGTTTTGAGTTTCGAGGCACACGACTACTGACCACCTTATGAAATCAGTAACACAATTATACGTTTTGATAATTCAATGCTCCTTTCCAAGTGCTGGTCGGCAAAAATCATTGACTCTAGTTGGAGTACGTGTTGATGGTATTTCTTCGTGTTCCCTTTAACCGTGGTCTTTTTCTTGCATACTTTTGGGCACTGATCGATATTTTCGTTCCTTAGACTGATCCAAATACTGATGGACTCCTTCCTTGAGATCCAAACTGCCGGCCGTTTTGGTACACTCTCTGAATCTGTGCTTGATTACGCTTTGTTTGCCCACGTTTCTGTTCTTTCCTAGCCGTACACCCCAACTCCGGCCCTCACCTTTCTTTATAGTCCCGAATCGGTTTATCACTAGTAACACTGGGCATTTCAGTAGTCGGGTAATACTAACTCGTGCCCTACTCTCTCTTCCCCTCAGTGTGGTCTGCTTCCTTTATCCGGTTATCATTTGTGGTGTATTTCACTAATCATTCAATGCCTTTATGCCTTTTGCTGCTATAAACCATCGTCCCGTCTCACTAATTTCTACGTCCTGTTTCAAACGACACAAACATTTCAATTTGGTTCCAGTTTTGCTCTAGCCTAATCTGCCAGCTACTGCTGTTGACCGACACACGTTCCTATTCGTCGTCGATTTTGTACATGAACTGCATGATACCAATCGTGACTGTGAAATCCCCTGATTACTAATAAGAAGACTAGTTGAAAGGTTCGTATTCAATACATGGATAAATATATATATTTGCGTTCAACTCACAATTACTTGTGAGTTTTGTTGTGGGATAACTGACATTGATTGGTTAGTCAGACCTGACCATCCTATAAACCTCACCTTCACGCACATTCCCCACCTCTTCCAGTCAACCAAACACTTGGAGGCACTAGGCTCGAGTTTCGCTCTTATTAAGCTCATCAGTAGTATGTATTCGCTGAACTCCGGATCCATCGTATGGAACTTGTGTGTCACCATTGTGCCAACCAGCTCATGCCTGGAATTGGGAGGCTTTCGATTGGAGTTGAAACATAGCCAACTGTGTCTCTCTTCGATGATATCGAGCCAACTTGAACTGATTGATTATCTCTTAAGATAATACTTAGACAAACATAAATTGGCAATTCAGTTGAGCTCTAGTATGAGCTGGTTGGCACAGTGGTAACACAAACAATTTCCATACAATGAATCTAGAGTTCGGTGAATGAGCCTAAAAAGAGCAAAACACGAGTCTAGTGTCTTCGAGTGTTATGTTGACTGGAAAAGGTAAGGGTTTTGCCTGAAGAAGAAGTCTGAAGGTTGATCAGTTCTAATCAATATATAGTTTTATTGATTTGAACTGACCATCCTTCAGATTTCACCTTCACGCACAACCCTCAGCTCTTCCAGTCAACCACACACTCGGAAGCACTAAACTCGAGTTTAGCTCTTACTAGAGCTCATCAGTAGTGCATATCCAACGTCCCGTTTGGGCTCAGAACTCCGGACACATCACTTGGAAGGCGTGTGCGTTACCACTGTGCCAACCAGCTCATACCATGACTAAACCGAGTTGTCAATTCCTGTTTTTTCAGGTGTGGTCTTCAGTGATAGTCAATCAGTTCAATTGGNGCTTGATAGCAACGAAGGGAGACAGCGATGACAATCTGGCAACTCCATAGATTATATATATATATATGTAACGACTTCATCTCAGATTTCCTCAGTCTCAGTCCGAATTGAGTCATCATTTTCCGAAAAGTGATATGGGAGAATTTCGGCTAAGCCGCACGGACTATACTCTATATTTGTCAAAGGCAACTTTCGTGAGCTCCGCGATCGTATTAACTGATTGTCTTGCTTCCATGCGATTAGTGTTCCTTTTCTTGGTTCATCTGTTGGTGTAGCAATGTCGTTGATAATGCGATAAATTGGGCTAAGGTTCTCGTCAAAGCACTTGCACAACTCAGAATCGGAGTCATTGGATTAATGCGCCTCTCGAATAATTTGTTTCTTGGCTTTAAGCTTACGCCAAAACCTCTTGAATGTATTTCTGTAAACCGCTTATCCAACGAGCCAGGCACCTTAAGATCAAATTGTGAAGGCGATTGGTTATGTTTCTTCGAATATATTTTGAGCCCTTTCAGAATGCGGGGATTTTACATGAGTGGTTGATGGCCACATAATTGATCAGTTTATTTAACCTGGAAAATTCTCAGGTGGTTTACTTTGCATCGGATTAAAAAAGATAATCTAATTAGAAAACGTGTGTTGACCAGAATAAACGTTGCACTGGGAGGTGAAAGTAGGACTAAATACGTTCCACCCATGGCTGTCGGTTGACATGTCTATGATACCGTAAAGTGAAATATATTTTTAAAATTTTGAATCATGTTGCATCAGTTTGATCGATACCGGTAAATAGATGTATGCATATAAATCTAGTAAGACTACATCTAGAAGAACCTTGCGTCACTCACATTTGTAGTATAATCACTATAAGACAGAAACAGTGAACAAGTGAGAAAGATATCTGTGATGCCAGGATGATTTTAACTCATACTAAAGTGATGAGGATGCTTCCGGTGCATTACGAAACTCATGAGCGGGCACAATAGCCATTCAATTACAGCAGATGAATGGAATAGCAAAACAGTCAGCGTTTGTAAAATATCTGCGCGGACTGCGAATCAGTATCTGGTTCTGAAGCCGCGTCTAAATGTCCTCCCTGTTGTTTCCGATCCCAGATCCAATTTACTTTTCGGCAGAAAAGTACGTTTGGCAGAGATTCATGCAAATCTCAGCCAGTGTGTTTTAATGAAACGAGAGACGAGTAGAAAATGACGAGTGAACCAGTGGAAATTTAGGGGGGAAGGCACACTATTCGCTTCGGTAAGAAGAAAATGCGATCACTATCTGATTAGTTTGCGAAGAAATCCTCCATCTAACATATTGGTTATTCATCTAAAGAATGAGTTTTCTTTAAAACGAAAATGAACGACAAAGTTGGGTATTCAATTTCACTTTTACTCGTAGATTATCGTTCCGTCATTCGCACAGATGAACCGAGAATTTTTCACACATACACAAGAAAGCCAATCTGACTATTTGACTATTTGTTCCTTTCAGGAGTGTTACTGTTCGATTCTCACAACCATATATCGTGTGTTAACGTTTTGTTTCGACGTACCCGGGAAAGTGTTACCCATATGACTATTTCAGTGCTCCACAATATTAAATCGGTTGAGGCGAAAACTTGTACATTTTTGTTAACGCATCAAAGTTGAAGGACGGTCAGTTGATCATGCTTAATGCCCCTAAATGTTGAGCAAGATTCTGACAGCATGACACAGTTCGAGCGATTGGAAAAATAAACTTCCCGGAAAAATGCAACTTGGAAACATTGATTTCTTATAACAACGCGCAAAATAAGCTAATGGTTTGTCCCAAATTGAATGAATCAAGTGCCATTATTTGCAAATAATGTGCGAAATTTACCTGCGATATTTGCAGTTTGATCTACATTGGTTTGATGCAGAGGCTTGTCATCTTGAACTTCTTGACGTGACTGAGGCTCGGATGTGTTCATCTCATTCTGTTGCAATCCGTGCAGATCATAATGTTCTCCACTTTGCTGTTGTGTAGACGTTAAACTCCAATCTGACCTATTCTTATCGACCTTCAATTCGATGATTGGTTTGTCCGTCACCGCATAATCGGAGTTAACTGGTTTATTTTCCGGGTCCTCAGTTGAGGAAGTTTTCGCAAACACTGTTTCGTGAACTTCTGACTCTACAGGCTGAGAAACCTCAGCTTCACTTTCCGAGGTGTGTTCGTTGACTGCCAGTTCACGAGAAAGCATACGTCTTCGTGGAGGTCGAGCGTCCCGCAGAACGGATTGTCCAGTTGCCGGCATGTCACTGTGTCGCCGCGCGTCCTGTTTTCGGATTGAGGGTGACCGATCTTCTGCACTGCTCGTGTCACTTTGTACATCATTATCGATTCGATCCCGCCATTCCTCGTATTGAGTGAACGAAGAGGTACGAGCTATTGGTTTCTTCTGGAAGGAATAAACAGAAGTTTAACGATTGTAATGTGAAACATTGGGAAAAAATAAATGAATAATTTTCTTCGTTAGTCCATGCATGAATTACTGGAGTGTAGCAGTAAAAAACGAGACCTAATAGGTTATTTTGAAAGGCTGCTGTAAGTGACACCCCTTTTTAGGTTTGAACTTTCCTATCAATAGTTGTAAACTAACGTTTAAGAATTCAAGTTATTGTTTTCTTTTTTTCTCAATTTTCAGAGCTATTCTGGCATTGAACGTCAGCGGTCCCACCTCATATCTCTCTCACTTCCCGATCGCGAAGCAAACTGATAGATTTTTTACCATGTCATAAATCCACGGCCTTGGAACCTGGTTTGTGCAGTTTCATCCTGATGATATTCTATTTAAAAAGCAAATCATATTTAACCCGGTCGCTATTGGAGATATTCATGGGGACCATTTATATGAGTATGCAGAAAGCAGCGTTTGATAAGTAACTGAACTCCAGAAGTTGAAGAAGAAGGTTCAATCAATAAAAAGCACTTGGATCGAAAAATTGCATCACAAAAGTAATGAAGGTGAGCATGTTTTCAAACAAATCATAAGTTGCAATGAAAAGTTAATTGTTTTTAAGTAATTTTCCTTCAAGTTTCGTATTCTCGAACAATCCTCAGTTCCGTCAATAAACCGTACATTCCAAAACCACCAAACTCGGCTTTTACTACCTTGGCTATGGTCCCCAGCCGCATCACAAGGAAAGCGTGTACGTTACCACTGTGTTTTCTAGACCTAATGAGATCCAAACCCTAGGCTTTCAGGAATGTATGGGTTGGTGGAGTCGGGGGGTAGAGCAGTGTGGACTGAAGATTGCACGTGAACTTGCTTGGTAAGGACGGTCAGTTTGAATATATTTAATTCATCCCACAAACAGATATTCAACATGAACCGTCCAAGCTCTTTCTTTTGAAACACTGCCTGTTCACTGAAGTGACATCATTCAGAACAAATGGTCTGATGGGATCGTTTGATGGTCAGATAAATACTACGTTAGCACTGTTGGAACCCGTTGTACAATGCGCGATTTTGGTTTTGGTCCAGCAGAGTGTAATTTGATAGATCACGTAATGTTGACAAAATATTGAAAATCGGTTTTCGTAGCTCGGGTGAACTGAATTCCATTTCG